TTTGCAAAATCAAAGCCCAAAGGTAGTTCAATTAAACACAATTTCAAGGAAGACTACAAGAACATAGTTTAAATGTAACATGCAAGTGTTCTAATGCATTCAAAGCTTCTAATACATGCTCCAAAGAGCCAATCCTTCCAAAAACATGGTGAATTCATGGATTAAAACAATAATATAGACATGCATGCAATAATTTTCATGAAAACAACTCTAAACTTCAAGATATACACATGCATGCATGAATTGCAACTCAATTCAACATATTAAGCCAATTCTTGGCTTTAAAACTCTAATCTTCCAAGAACCATGCAAGAACTAACTTGATTTCATAATTAAAAGGATAAATTCCTTACCTAGGTTCCTCAATTACAAGAATGGAAGCTCAATCATGCAAATTTCCTCCAACTCTCTTTATCTCCAAGCCAAAATAAGATGAAATCACTCTATCTCCTATCTCTCTCTCTCTAGTCAGTTAGGCTTAAGAAATGGGTTGATGAAATGATATAAAATCAAGTCTCAAAGTGTTATAGAGATAGGCCACTAAGTGGCAAAAGGGTAAATAAGTCTAACTTATGTGATTTAACACTATTTAATCCTATTTAATCATACCAAATCAAATTTCAATTAAATATACCATAAAATCACATAAATTCCAATTAGCATAAAATATTAATCAATTTCAGATTCGGCCGCCGATAAGGCCTTCAATTTGCAATTTACACATAATACAAGAACAGATAATTTAACAGTCAAATAGATAAACATGCATTTAAACTAACACACTCAATCAATTAGCTCAGAATTTCAATCAATTCAATTACTTATCATGATCGGTCTCAGTTTAGCAGTAAGCAGTGGCGTTATCAGTAAACAGTAGTGAGGGTTGTCACAATATTGGTACTGATGTGGTGGGAATGTGTTTCAGAAAACGCTGCTAGTGGGATTGGGATTTCGCCCATGGTGGCCAAGCAAGGATCGAGGATTTGCTCAAATGAAATCTACTCTTGACCCTCCAAAGTAGTTTATTTTTATATTTTGATTAAAAAAATTAATTATTTGATCTCTTTTGTTGCTTGTAAAAGTTTTAGTTATTGGCGTTTTCTTTCTCTAACACACTTATTCAGGCAGATTTTTGGTTTATTTTTTACTCAAGTCTCAGGATTGGAAATGATCTAGTTCTTCTCTGAGAGTTTAATTTTGTGACTGGTGTTTGTCGACTTTTTTGTTAGGATTTTTTCTTTATTTTGTTTTTGTTTTTTTTTCCCTTTCTTTTTTGGCTACGATGCTATTTTTTAGCTTTCTTTTTACTGATGTTTGTCTCATTATCATTTTGCATATAAGATTTCATCAATAAAATTTTTATTTTTGTGAATCAAAAAAATATAAGTACTATTTTATCTGCATTAAAGAAAAATCAAATTTTAGTACTACTTATTAAACTTACTGTGAGCATTGACACCAAAGGCACACTCACGGTATTGCAATAATCCACTTGAAACTTTGATTATACATATATATATTTGGTGAAGTTACTATTTCATTAGAGCTTGCAACAAAAGTGATGTAAATGGGAGGTGGGAAATTTTAGATGTATTGTGAATTTTTTAGGAGCAAGTTGTAAATTGTCCAAAATAATAGATGGAATTCCACCTGTACCTGTTTTATTTTCAATTTTTAAACAACAACGATAAAAATCCACACTTATCAATCCACAATTTACTCAAAAAAAAAAATCAATAGTTTAAATTCATTTTATCCATAGATCCCGTAATTCATCAATTTAATCTCCACCACACAAACCATTTGAGGTACATTATGGGTTTCTAAGGGTGAGTTCATAGCATTTTTTTTTCAAAATATATTTGATTCTCACTTTTTGCTTTTGCTTTTTCTATCACCCCTCCAATCTTTAATCCAAAGACAATAAAAAAAAAAAAAGAAAGAAAAAAGCCAAAACAGAGGATGAGAGTAATTTTGTAATCCAATATACAAAATGATATTGAGATGAACATTCAGTTAATGGCGAATGATGATTCATCATTTGCTCTTCCCAAACCCACCCTCCATTGAGATCCGATCAAAATTGTTCCAGATAGAGAATGATGAATTTATATCACGATTCGGAAAATTGTTTCAAAAAATAGAAAGGAGAAGAACTGAGGCAATCAAACAACTCAATAGATTAAATTGACGTTTGATGGTCTCGATTTTTGCTTGATGGAGAAGACGGAGTTAAGGTCTGAGTTTTCGATCGCCAAAGAAGACTTGAGCAACTTTTGAAGGTGGATTCAACCCTATTCAATTCATTATAACTTATTTTATATTATTTAAAACTCTAACTGTAGTTAAGTTATTGGAAGCTCCAACTCTCTCTTTATGGTATGAAATAAACTATCCCACTATTTCTTTATTCTGCATAACACGTCAATACTTGATAGGATGTTTGTAAAATTGGTATTCACGGGGATTAAGTTTCTCATGGATGTGCCGTGAATACCAGTTTTACGGACATCCTATCAAGTATTGACGCGTTATGCAGAACAAAGAAATAGTGGGATAGTTTATTTCATACCATAGAGAAAGGGAGAGAGCGAGAGTTGGAGCTTCCAATAACTTAACTATAGTTAGAGTTTTAAATAATATAAAATAAATTATAATGAATTGAATAGGGTTGAACCCACTTTCAAAAGTTGCACAAGTCTTCTCCGGCGATCGAAAACTCAGACCTCAATTCTGTCTTCTGCAGCAAGAAAAAATTGAGACCATCACACATGCATATAATCTAGTGAGTTGTTTGATTAGATCAGTTCTTCTCCCTTTCTAGTTTTTAAACAATTTTCCGAATCGTGATATAAATCCATCATTCTCTGCTTGGAATGATTTTGATCAGGTCACAACAAGAGCAAAGGAAATCCAGTGAAAAATACAAGTAATATGGCGTCGAGGACTCGAAGCCAGAGGTCCAATCGAGGATAGTGATATTGGTACTGATGTGGTGGGAATGTGTTTCAGAAAACGCTAATAGTGGTATTGGGATTTCGCCCATAGTGGCCAAGCAAGGATCAAGGATTTGCTCAGTTGAAATATGCTCTTGACCCTCCAAAGTAGTTTATTTTTATATTTTGATTAAAAAAATTAATTATTTGATCCCATTTGTTACTTGTAAAAGTTTTAGTTATTGGCGTTTTCTTTCTCTAATACACCTATTCATTTTTGGCCTATGTTTTACTCAAGTCTTGTTTGCTCAAGTCTTAAGATTGGGAATGATCTAATTCTTATCTGAGAGTTCAATTTTGTGACAAGTGTTTCTTGGCTTTTTTGTTAGGATTTTTTCTTTATTTTGTTTTTTTTTTTCCTTTCTTTTCTGGCTTCGATGCTATTTTTTAGCTTTCTTTTTATCGATGTTTGTCTCATTATCATTTTGTATATAAGATTTCATCAATAAAATTTTTATTTTTGTGAATCAAAAAAATATAAGTACTATTTTATCTGCATCAAAGAAAAATCAAATTTTAGTGGTGCTTGTTAAATCTTACTGTGAGCATTGACATCAAAGACATACTCAAGGTATTGCAATAATCCACTTGAAACTTTGATTATATATATATATATATATATATATTTGGTGAAGTTACTATTTCATTAGAGCTTGCAACAAAAGTGATGTAAATGGGAGGCGGGAATTTTTAGATGCATTGTGAATTTTTTAGGAGCAAGTTGTAAATGGGGGATGAAATTTTTGTCCAAAATAATAGATGGAACTCCACCTGTGTACCTGTTTTATTTTCAATTTTTAAACAACAACAATACAAGTCCACACTTATCAATCCACAATTTACTCATAAACAAAAAAAAATCAATAGTTTAAATTCATTTTACTCATAGATCCCGTAATTCATCAATTTATCTTCACCACACAAATCCGTTTGAGGTAAATTATGGATTTCTAAGGGTGAGTTCATAGTATTTTTTTTTTCAAAACATATTTGATTCTCACTTTTTGTTTTTGCTTTTTCTATCACCCCTCCAATCTTTAATCCAAAGACAGTAAAAGAAAAAAAAAAGAAAAAAAAAAACCAAAACAGAGGATGTGAGTAATTTTGTAATCCAATATACAAAATGATATTGAGATGAACATTCAGTTAATGGTGAATGAGGGTTCATCCTTTGCTCTTCCCAAACCCACCCCCCGTTGTGATCCGATCAAAATTGTTCCAGACAGAGAATGATGAATTTATATCACGATTCAGAAAATTGTTTCAAAAAATAGAAAGGAGAAGAACTGAGGCAATCAAACAACTCAATAGATTAAATTGACGTTTGATGGTCTCGATTTTTGCTTGTTGGAAAAGACGGAGTTGAGGTCTGAGTTTTCGATCGCTGAAGAAGACATGTGCAACTTTTGAAGGTGGGTCCAGCCCTATTCAATTCATTATAATTTATTTTATATTATTTAAAACTCTAACTGTAATTAAGTTATTTGAAGCTTCAACTGTCTCCATGGTATGAAATAAACTATCCCATTATTTTTTTATTTTACATAACGTATAACGTGTCAATACTTGATAGGATGTCCGGTAAAACTGGAATTCAGGCACATCCATGAGAAACTTCGGCCTCGTTTGGCAAGAGGCTATTTTAGCCAATTAGCCAAAAAGTTACTAAATTAGCCAAAAAGCCAACAACTCATACCAAAAAGTCAAAGATTCTCTTTTCTCTTTACTTTTTGCACATCTTTTCGTAATTAGTCAAAAAGTCATCCCAAACATACAAGTTTTTTTTACCTACCTTTTTAGCCAAATAGCCAAAAAGTTACTAAATTAACCTGTTCCCAAACGAGGACTTAATCCCTTTCTTAAAACCAAACATCATACCTATCTCTCTCTCATCTCTAATCTTCAATCTCTCTCTCCATGGCACCAAATACACAATCCCAGCAGCAGCAGGAGAAACTCCATATATTCTTCTTCCCCTTCATGTCACCAGGCCACCAAATCCCCATGGTAGACCTAGCCAAGCTTATCTCCTCCCGTAGCGTCACCACCTCCATCCTCAGCACCCCCCTCAACCTCTCTCGCTTCCGCTCCTCCATCCTCCGCCACAACGTCTCCACCTCCTCCTCCTCCATCAACATTCTCCTCCTCCACTTCCCCACCACCACCGAAAACCTCGACTCCCTCCCTTCCCGATTCCAATCAAACACCTTTACCCAGTCCACCACCCTTCTCCAACCCCAAGCCGACGATCTCATCCGTCTACACCAACCCGACGCAATCATCTCCGACATCAACCTCCCCTGGACGGCCCAGATTTCCCGCAAATACAACATCCCCCGAATCACCTTCTCTGCCACATCTTTCTTCTCTCTCTGCGTCACAGACAGTATCACCAAATTCAAGCCATACGAGTTTGTAACCCATGACTTTGAGCCCTTCTTGGTCCCGGGTCTACCCCACACAGTTGGTATTTCGAGGTCTCAGATGCCGGGTCGGTTCTTCCGCGACATGGGTCTGCAACAATTCTTCGCCCAAATCATTGAAGCAGAGCGAGACAGCTATGGAGTTGTGGCCAACACTTTTTGCGCAATCGAAAGAGAGTATGTGGAGCACTATAGGAAGACTAGTGGCAAGAAGGTATGGCCGATCGGACCGGTCTCGCTCTGTAACGACAAGGTTTTGGATATGGTGGAGAGAGGAAACAAAGCTTCGATTGACATGGACCAGTGTCTGACATGGCTTGACTCGAAAGAACCCAACTCAGTGATCTACGTTTGCTTTGGTGGCCTCTGTGTTTTTCCGGAGTCACAACTCGTTGAGATTGGATTAGGACTTGAAGCTTCGGACTGTAATTTCATTTGGGTGATCAGAGAAGGTTTCCGGGTTGGTCTCGCCATTGATGATCTCGAGGAGAGAGTGAAGGGTCGTGGGATCATTATGAAAGGGTGGGCCCCGCAGATTTTGATCCTCAACCACCCGGCGGTGGGTGGGTTTTTGACTCATTGTGGTTGGAACTCGGTGATAGAAGCGGTGAGTTTTGGGGTGCCAGTGATTACGTGGCCGCTTTTTGCCGAGCAGTTTTATAATGAGAGATTTGTGGTGGCTCATTTGAGAATTGGTTTTGGGATCGGTGTCGTTGACACTGGGTTGGAGTGGGGCAGCGAGGAGGAAAGCGGAGTGTTGGTGAAGAGGAACCGGGTCAAGGCGGCTGTGCAGCGCTTGATGGGTGTCGGTGAATCGGTGAGAGAGATGAGGGAGCAGGTGAGTAGACTCAGTGAGTTGGCTCGGTCGGCTGTGAGTGAAGGAGGGTCCTCTAATGTGAGTTTGGACCTTTTGATTGTGGATCTTTTAGCTCAAAGGAAAGAGAGATTGGCAAAGGGAGAAGAGATCAATTAATTGACTTCTTCTTTCTGGTCATCACAATTTGCAGAGTAGTGTGGTTGTGTTTTCCATGGTTGTGTAGTTTTGGTTGGTAAAATTTGCAAGAAACAGCAGTGATTCAGACTCCACAAAACATCACTCCACAACCTTTACTCACTTATAATTGGTTTAAATAAAAATATATATATATATATATATATATATATATAAATACAAGGCAAAATCGTACTCAGCTAGTAAGCTTTAGATTAACAAACGAAAGAGAAATAATTGAGGCTTAAACCATACACATCTCCCCAAATGAGTTCCAAACATTATTCTAAAGTTATTGAGAGGTAAGTGGCACACTACTTTAAATTTATTTTTGAATAAAGTATTTTATTTTGTTTTATTCTTTCCAATTTAGCATTGTTGTATTTAAATATTTTGAATTTTTTTTTATATCAATATTAGGAATATAGATTTGAATATAAAAAATATATAAATTGATAAGATTTTATAAGATTTGTTTGTAAGGTCCACTTAAAAATTCTATCTATTCATTTATTTTGTATTTAATTTTTGTTTTCTTAAATTTATTAGATTTTTTTTCCCTTATATTTTAGTTTAGGTATATGGTAATCATTTACTTCTCATAATTTGCACGAATTAAATTCGTGTTTTTTTTCTATGTTTTGGAATGTTTAATTCTAAAATCAATTTACTTTAAATTTAAACTTGATTATAAGATTATGGAGAAATTTATAATGTGCACTCTTTCAAATTGTGCACATTATAAAAAAGTTATGATATTTTATGTGAACATTATGATTGTTTGTGATGTATGTTATGACATTTTGTAATAAAGTTATAAATAGCGAATTTATGGTGTGCACCCTAAAGTTAGAAATGATGATGTTATGATATTTTGTAATTTTTGTTATAATATTTTGAGATTTTGTTATGATATTTTTTTAGTGAAAAAAAGTTATGACTTTTATAGTGAAAAAATTATGACATTTTAAGTAAGTTATGAAATTTTGTGAAAAAGTTATGAAAGACATACTATATGCATCTTTTTGAAGATGCACATTTTAACATATCTCTAAGATTATATTATTTTTTTGGCTAACCAGTAATGTTATGGTAAAAGCCTCACAAAAAATACACCCAAACCATAGACTTTCAATACACCCAATTTGTCCATTTCCAATCGTTGTACACAAAATTTACAAATTTTAAGTGTGTGAACAAAATACACTATATGACTTATTTCAAATTTTAGGCAATATATCTAAAATTGTGTTGTTCCTACCTGAAATTATAGTCATTATTTACACCAATTAAAAATGATGTATTGTCAATGCTCAAAAAGTGTGAACAAAATCAAATTCATACACAAGACCACCATCACCACAGCTTCAAGTGAACAACACATATAACTTCCCTTTTTTTTTGGTTTCCAACGGGATGTCCGAGCCAATTTAACGCATACCTCGATTAATATCTCGCTCGTACTGGGAACCTATAGCTGGTCACGAGATGTTGCAGCTGCTGCTGAAACTCAAATTGGGAAGCAAAACCAATCGAATCTCAGAGGTTTACTCAGCGATGGACAAGTCACTGGGACACAAATTCATAGTTATATTTAACTTTAAACATGACAATGAAAATCGAACCAACATAAAAAAAGAAATGGAAAATTAGATGCAAAAACAAGAAGAAAAACAAATCAAATCAGTTATAACGTCCTCAAATCCGTTGGTGTCTTCTCTCTTTGCCAACCGCCCTGTTTTTTGTTTTAGAAGATCCTCAATTGAAAGGTCTAAATTCACATAAGAGGACCCACCTTCCCTCGCCGCTGATCTCGCCAACTCACCGAGTTCACTCGTCCTCATCTCTTTGACCAATTCACACCAAAACTTCGACCTTCTCCTTCTCACCCCACTCCATCGAATCCCAAATCCCATTTTCAAGTTATTCACTATAAAATCGGCATTATACCTCTCTGTTCGTCAAAAAGCAGCCACGTTATCACTAGCATCCCAAAACTCACCGCTTCCAGCACCGAGTTCCACCCTCAATGAGTCACAAACCCGCCCACCGCCGGATGGTTGAGGATATGGGCTTGGGGGAAAAGCCCTTAATAACAATTTCGTTATTGATTTCTATCTAATTTTTTTCAAAGAATGTCATCTATTGGATAAAATTGACAGTGTGATAAATTAAAAGATAAAATTGAGACCAATGAAATTATGTAGATCAAATTGACACCAAAAAAAAAATTATAAAAAATATTTGCTCTTAATTTTTTATATTATGTACCTAAATTCTACAATCTCTGTGTGTCAATGCACTCACACTCACTCTCAATTATAAAATTATATTTCAAGATTTTCATACTTCAAAATACTCATATGATTATATAATTAAAAATACCTTAAAATAAAAAGGATGAAAGAATTTAGGAATAAAGAATCCTACAGTTAATAACTACAAAATTGACACAATATATAGATTTTAAAAATAAAATTAATATAATTAGAACTATAAAAATTAGTTGATAATTAACAAACTACATAAACTACTGGTGTAATTTGTCTTATTTTATTATTCAGATTCAATCTCAAGCTCCATGCAGTTGGCACAATAGCCGCTTTATTCAGCATGGCCAACATAATGGCCTGGCCCCTTGGAAGTCTCATGTCGGACCTCGCTGCACGTAGATCCGACATGACGTGCCGGCTATGGATCCTTTGGATCTTTCAGACCCTAGGTGGTCTCTTCTGCATCTTCCTCGACTGATTCAACAATCCCCACATCTTCATCACCTCTATGATTCTCTTCTCCATAGGCACTCAAGCTACCTATGGAGCCACATTTTGGAAGAATGTGGGGATGCTGTTGCGCAGCCTGCGCAGCAGCGTCAGCTGTGCGGCAATTTGGGCCCATTTTGATAATCCGAGCCGTTCACATTTTAGAATACGTCAAGTAGAACATATCTGCAAAAAATCAAATTAATCGGATATCGTTTACCTATTCATCCATTCATATTTGTATTCATTTTAATCAAGCTAAAATACATTTGTATTTATTTTTGTAGATACAAATGTGAGTGGATGAATGCGTAAACGATATTCGATTAACTTGATTTTTTGCAGGCATGTTCTACTTGACGTACTCTAAAATGTGAACGGTTCGGATTATCAAAATGGATCCCGAAATGGGCTCAAATTACTGCACAGCAGACGCTGATGCGCAGCCTGCACAGCAGCGTCCCCATATCCCATTTCGTCTCCCATCAATCGCTCGGCATTATCTCTGGCCTAACTGGTGTTTTTTACTAAGTGTGGGGATATATTTCTGAGTACCAACACGTGGCAAGGTGACGTCGACGTGTCAGCCGAGGTGTCACGTGTCTTGGTCGTGACGCCGAGGTGATCTCGGTAAGGCCGAGGTTATCTCCAAAAATATCAGAATCCGAGATAAGAGGATAAAAGATAAGAGACAAGAGTCCTAGAGTAAAGAGGAGACTTAGTCAAGATGAGGATAAAGCTCTTAGGGAGTTTATCTTTATCTCTTGAGGAGTCCAAAGTAAGTACTAAATTGGAGTCCATAGAAGTCAGGCTTCTAGTGGAACTAGGATTGAGTTAACTATAAAAGAGAGGCACCCCCATGGGTCTAAGGTACGCAATTTATGCTTTGAGCAGTGAGTTTAGCACTTGATTATCTTTGAGAGATATACTGACTTGATCGTCGGAGTGTCCCCGGGTGGAAAAGCCACCGCCGGAGCCTTTTCTTTCTGTTACAGGTTAACTGAAGCCATCTATTCTGCCAGTGCTCTCTAGCTGATTACTAAACGGGCAGTGTGGTCAGAAAATTACTCACACAATTTGGCGTTGTCTGTGGGAAATTAGAAGAATAGATGGCCAGTAACGGATAGAAGGAAAAGATTGGGGACGACGCTCCTGCTGGGAGTGGCAGACTAATCGACCTTGATATTGAAGGAGACAACAACAATGCAGAAACTCGTGACTAGGGCCACGGATAGAAAGACGTCGGCCAGGAGGGCGACACTTCGAAGAAGACAAACCAAAACAAGTACTATAACGAAGATAACCTCCAGGTATGGAGGGATAGGTGCCTACGGAGGGATGAAAAAGTAAAAGAATTGGCAAACAAGTTGGCAGACCTGCAGTCGGTCGTCAACTTCATGATGCAAAACAATGTCATGCAGCCACCATACCCGCTGCACGACACGCCGATTCCAGCAACTAATACCCAGAAGGGAGGAAGGAAAACAATCCCCGAAGCCCCTCAGCACACCAGGAGCGGAAGGCACTCTCACCGACCTTCCAGGGAAGTCAGACGAGAGGAGCCGAGACGAGAAGAGTCCCGAAGGACGTATCACACGAAGGACCCAGAGCCCAAAGAACATCGGCATGTTCAAGGACAGGCTCTCTGCTTTGACACAACCCATGGAGAAAGATCAAAACGGGCCCACCATGAGGCCGAAAGTAGTGTGCCGAAAACATTGATGTCAAAAGATAGCCGAGCTCCAGGGAGGAGTAAAGAAGACTTGAGAGATTACCTCAAGAGGAAGCAACAGAATGCTGAAGCCGAGGTAACTTCCCCGGTTAAGCCGAAGACATCATTCTCGGTGGAACTAGACAAATTTGAAGCACCAAAGAGATTCAGTATGCCGAGATTCCAAATATATGTTGGTAAGTCAAATCCCAACTTTCACGTTGGACTATACCTGAATTCAATGGCATTATATAATGGGAACGGGCCGTTGCTCTGCAAAGTATTCCCTTCATCCTTCGGGGAGATTGCATCAGAATGGTTCCATAAACTACCGAAGGGAAGCGTAAAGATTTGGGAAGGCCTGGCCGAGATGTTTGTGGCCAGGTTTGTGACGAACAAACTACAACCCTTGAGGGTTGACGCACTGATGGCTTTAAAAATCACCAAGGATGAAGGCCTTAGGGCCTACGCAAAAAGATACTACGAGGTGTTCAATCGAATACCTGAAT